CGGCGCCTCTAGCCAGAGGGCCTGAGGGGGACCGGTTCGCTGCGAACAGGAGGACGGCGGACCTCCCGCGTGCGTGTGCGTTTCCTAACGCGGCGCTAGGGGTGAGCCCGGGGCCTTAGCACGAAACCACTGCCAGTACTTTTAATTTTTTAATTTGACCCTGAGTCTGACTCGGTTTCTCAGGTTGGGCCTGAGTTTGCAATCCCCTGCCTCAGCCTCTTGTAGCTGAGATTACAGGTGTGTACCATGGGGCCCCACTACAGTTTTGATAATGAACGGCAGATGACTTACGTTTGATGCCTACTTTCGAAATCCAAGGGAACTTATAACATATTTTAGTCTCTTTTTCGTGATACTGGGCACTGGACCCAAGGTTTTTGCATTGAGCTGCGTCTTCAGCCCTTTATTTTGTTTTCTGTTTTGAGACAGGGCCTTGCTAAACCCGAGTTTCTCTGGCTCAGCTCTGACTTGCCATCCTCCTGCCCCAGCCCCTCAGTGCTGGGACCACAGGTCTGTGCCCTTGCTTGCGGCCATATTTAGCCTGTAAAAATTAATTTTATCATACATACTGCTAAAGGGTACGAGTAGCACAGAACTGATGAAAAGTGATAATCCTTTGTCTAAGTTTCTCTGACAGGTTTCTCAGGAGCCATCACTTGCACCTTTTCTTTTAATGCTGTTTCATGGTCTGACTTTTGGTTTTTTTGTTTGTTTGTTTTTTGGTACCGGGATCAAACTCAGGTCCCTGCGCTAAATCCCTGCCCCCTTCGTGGTCTGACTTTTAAAGGCATGAGGTTTGCCCTTTTGAAACCAGGGACAAGTTTCTGTAACAGGAGAGGGTGTGGCTCGGTTTACATCATTCATTGGCCTCATTTCCCATACTTTATCTCTGTGTATTTATGTTATCTTTTAGTAAGTGATACTCATATATTATTACAAAAATGCTGTTCACTCCAGAGTGCCACATACAGCCTGTAAAGGATCCTCTACTAAGTTCTCTGCCTCCCGCCTGCTTTGTACACAGATCTGAAGAGATTTGCTGGATGTGGAAAATAACTTTTCCAAACCACCTTGGTGTTGTGCTGTGTTTGTTGGGATGATGTTTGGGAGATTGAGTCTTCCACAGCTGCTTTTTGCTGGCATCGTGGGAATTGCTGGAGGAATATATATTTACCAACCGATATTTGAACAATATTCCAAAGATCAGAAGACATTAAAACAGAAGGTGGAATTAACAGAAGAATCAAAAGAGAAGAAAAATTAATGCTACATGGAGTTGAATTGTAATGATTGCATAAAGTTCTATTGGACTTAACATTCACAATAAGGAACCTAGTAAAAACTTAGATATATATTTTAAATATGAATAAATCATAGACAATAACTGTGGGTGATTTTTAAAAGTAGAACTATCAGTTTAATGTTTACTGTATTTTTATTTACCATTTTTTCTTTTCATCAGGGCACGGTTTTTCAAACTAAAATGAATGTCCTTAGAACAACATATAGATGGATTTAATCAGCACCATTAACAATTTAGTGTGAGCTTTGAATTTTTTTCACATATTTAAGATAGTTATGAAAATTTTGGTTCAAGTATGAAGCGTCTGTGGGACAGGTTTGGCTTCATTTAGCTGTGGGAGGCTGGGGTTCTCTTCTCTGCAGGAATGGCTGCATGTGGCTGTGACAGTGCAGGAGAGAAAGGGAATCTTTAGAGGAAACATGCAGTTGGAGCTTCAGCTCAGTGGCAAGTGTTGCATACTTGCCGGTTTTGTTTTGTAGAACCTGTCACATGGTTGAGTCCAAAGGCAAGAAAGCAAGGATGGGACTCTTCCTGGGAGGCACAGTGAGGTCACTGGGTAGGAGAGGACCTAGCTATCTGCTGTTCATCCTTGGAGAGGCATGCTGGATTTAGCAGTCAAATACTGGGTACCAGAGGCTGACACCCACCTGTTGCATCTGTTACATCAGGGCCATGTGGAGGACTGGGGTGCAGCTCAGGGTGGAGTGTATGCTGGCAGACATAGGGCCTGTGTCCAGCTCTCAGCACAAAACTACCCACAGTGAGATACCACTTTTAGTCACTAGATGACTACAGTGAAAAAGAATGTAGTGACTGTACATAGCAATGCACACCTTTCATCCCTGCCAAAGTACCCTGCGGTAGGTACCAGTCCCCACCTGCCCAGTATGTGATCAAAGCCTGAGGAAAAAGTACACAGAAGTAAGAGAGAGAAAGCGGGATGCCTGGATGACCAATGCTAGTGCAACCAGCAAGGGCCACACACTGACTTCTATTGGCAATCAGTTGGGTAAAGGCTATGAGTGATTTCTATGGAAATGAATGTAAATAAGACTCAAAGGACAAGACAAAGCATTCTTGAATTGGGAACAGAATAGACAAAATACATGGTTGTATTTAGAGCATTGTGCTATTTAGAAGGTTTTAGTTGTGCGAACAGAATTTGAGTGCAAGTTACTCTGACCTCAGTGCCTAGGCCTCGGCAGGACTCACTTCTTTAAACAAGCCAACTGTGGGGTTAACTCTTCACAGCCTGATTTGGACATGATCGGTATTACAGTTCTCCACACATCCCAGCGCAGGGGAGGCTGAGGCATAAGGATCATCAGTCTGAATCCAACTTGAGTTACATAGAGAGTTTGGGGCTGACCTAAACAGCAAGACCTGATATCAAAAAAGACAGAAGTGTTTATGATAGCATGGAACTGTCAGAATCATATACTGCTGCTAGAAATTTAAAATTTAAAATGGCCACTGAAGGGTTTGACGGTTTTCCAGGTGGGTGAACAGTTACCTTGGAACTCAGCAGCTCCCCTCCTAGGTGTGCCCCAGAGGTGAGAAAGTAAGTTTATTCCTGGGAGCTGGAAGTAGAAACAACCCCGGTGGCCATCAGTTAGTGAACAGCTAGGTGAGTGTACATCTGCACAGCGGGGATGAAGCCATCAAAGCGAAGGCTGTCCCAGGTGCAGCGTGGGGAACTGCAGAGGACACGATGGAGGCAGCGAGTGGCTGTAGGGGACGAAAGGAGTGGAGAATGATTGCTGCCGGGTATGAGGTCTCCCCAGAAAGCGCAGTGAGATTTGAGGTGATCGAGCACAGCTTTGTGAATCAGTTAACCCCAAACTGCACTGTTAATGGTGATGGTGACCTTCATGTGTGAACTACTGAAAACAGAGTGCATCCGCAGTAGTAGCTGCTGTCAAAGTGCTCCATGTTTTCTGCTGTTATGCAGTGCCCAGACCCATCTCTAAAAACTGGTGAAGTGCGGGTGCAGTTTGCCTTTTGTCTGCGTCCACGTGCTGCCATGAGTCACTCACATCCCTGACCCTGCCCCATGCATGTAAGTCGGTCACGGAGATCATCCACTGTAGCCTCCAAGTCTGAGGTGGACAGCAGTGTCTGGATTCCTGGTGCTGCTGCTCCTGATACCACCTCCACAGAAGTGCAGGCCCAGGGTGCTCAGCACTGTTCTGTCAGGAAGGCTCTTTGCAGGCCAACGCTGAGCTTGTAGTTGCCCACCCAGCTCTGCTGCACAGGTTCTATGGGAGTAACAAGCCAACTGCCTTCACCTTCTCCCTGGCCACAGGACAAGCTGCCACTCTGCTCTGCGTCTGCGCCTGGCTACCCTCAGAGTGTGAGGGTTCCTCCTGTGGGGCACCCTGGTCATGGATAAGGACTTTGGGTCTTCCTGGGTGTGAGGGGCTGTTGGTGCTTCTGGTGGTGAAGAGAACTTCCTCTGATGGCTGGAGTCAAGCACTAGGCTCCAAACCTGTGAAGCAATTTAGGTTAGGAAGTTGACACAGGACCTGATTTCCACTGCAGAGACAAACCTCAGCCTTCTGTTCACTAATTCTTAATTTTGTGTGTATGTTTAAATATACAAGTTGGGAAATATCCATCTTGGGGGAAAAAATAAAGCAGACTCTTACTTGTGCCCCTTTAGGGCCTGTGCTGTGTCCGCCATCACCACAGACCTTCAGGGGTGGGGGGAGATGACACGTGTGGACCCCAGATACCCCACAAGCTGTATTCTGCTGTGACTGCTGCCCTTTACAATGCTTGTCTGTCAAGGTAGACCCTGTTTCACAGCATCTTCTGTGGTTGCCACCAAATGTCAGCACCCTCCATATGAAGGCATCTGTCACCATCTCCAAGAACACGGCATCATCAGTCCTTCCCTCGTAACATGGGCAGATCATGGCTCCTGGTACATGCTGTGGATCCTTTCTACCCTCAAGAGCAGGAGGGTAGGTGGAGCAGCCACAGAGTCAAGGGGGGAAAGCCAAGGAAAGATTTGTTTTCAGGTGCCACTGAGGGAGATCGCCAGACCTCTGAGGAGACTAAACAGATTTTATATCAGTCACTTTCCTTGTTGCCGAGACAAAATACCAGACACCCAGAGTTAAAGGAGGAAAGGTTTATTTGTAGAAGGTTGTAGAAGTTTAAGTTAAGAAAAAAAAGGTTAGGGCCAGAGATTTAGCTCAGTGGTTCTGCTGCCTGCCTTGCAAGCACAAGGACCTGAGTTCAATCCCCAGTGCCAAAAAGTTTCAGTTCATAGTTGGCTGGCTCCAAAGCAAGGTGGCATGGCAGAGGGGCATCGCAGAGGAGAAATGGTTCATGGCAGGCAGAAGGCAGCAAAGCAATGAAGCAGCAAGTGACAAGCAGCCATCTTTCTGTTCCTTATATTCTAACCAGGGTGAGCTTTCCCATTATCTACACTCAGAACTATGCTCAACCAATCAGTGGACCAATTTAGTAACCACACACAATCAAGATCCACCCACCTATGACCTCATGAAGCTTTGGTGAGACATCCAGACACAAACCATAACATTCCTTTTCTGGTCCCCCAAAGACACACACATCCCTCAATGCAAAAAGGAAGTTAGTCCATCTCAAGAGTTGCCAAAGTCCTAACAGTTTTCAGCATTGCTGAAAAGTCCAAGTCAAAAGATTGAGGTTTAAGACAAACTTAGTTGTGAGCCCCTGTACAAATAAAAGTTAAACATTTTTAACATTCAATGGCAAAAGATAAACATTACCATTCCAAAAGGCACAAATAGGGGAGTACAAAGGAATGGGACCAGAGCAAGTCCAAAATCCAACAAAGTAAACATTAATTTCTGTCATCCCAAGTCCAGCATCTGAGGCAGTCTGTGGATGTGAACTGCAAAGGGCTTGGGTGGCTCAGCCCCTGTGGCACTTCTGGTGGTTGTAGCTCCTGTGGCTTCTGTCTTGGGCTGGCTCGGCCCACTTCCTGCAGCTTTCCTCAGGTGATCCATGTTCCTGGCTTGTCCAAACTTGGAGAGTCCCCACTAGAGATTTTAGCTTCACACACTACCCTCTCAGGGGCACCCTGCCAGGCCTCCCAGGCTTGCTGAAATCTGAGTGGAAGCCTTCCTGACCCCACAACTCTTGCATTCGGCATGCACCTAAAGTCAGCACCATGTGGTTGATACCAAGGTCTACTGCAGGATGGAGCAGTAGCCAGGCTTCCTTCTCTCTTGGCTATAGGGGTCGAGTGCTCGGATCGCTGAGTACTCCGAACCCAATCCCAAGAAACAAATTCTCTAGGCCACTGCCATTCTGGGACATGGTGCTCTGGAGCTTTCTTCTTAAAGCAAATTCTTTTACCTTTGCAACTCTGAGCTGCAAAGACTGGAGGGCTGCTATTTCTTATGATATCCTTGAGCCATCTTTTCCATTGCCCTGTTCTGAAATACTTTGCTTTTTCTTTTCTTTTCTTTTTTCTTTTTTTATACCAGGGATGGATCTCAGGTCCTTATGCTTGTGAGGCAGGTGTGGTGCCATTGAGCTAAATCCCTGGCCCAACTTTGCTTTTTCTTACTAGTTTTTTTATTGACCAGTTTCTGCTTTGGGGAGTTTCTCCTTTGTTCCATCTTTGGAGGCAACAACTTCATACTAGAGCTTCCTTTCTGGCAAAACTCAAAACATTTTAAACATTCTGCTCAGCTCTTTGTTCTTTTTCTTGTTGTGGTGGTACCAGGAATCAAGTTCAGGACCTTGCATTTGGAAGGCAGGTACTGTGCCACTGAGCTAAATCCCTGGGCTGGGCTTTTTGCTCAAGATTCTCAACATAGCTCTGAAAGCCCCCAACAGTATCCATGCCATCACCTCAATATTAGACTTCCTTGAAATTTCTTCTGCTAGATTAATCTACCACACTTAATCTTGGTCTCAGGAAAAGTCTCTGAAAGTAAGCAAAATGCAGACAAATTTTCTACTAAGCCATAACACACACTGTCTGCAGTCCAACAGCCAATGCAGTCCTTCCTGAGCTTGGTCTTTACTGGCAGCATTTCTATCAGCATTCTGGTCTCTGAGCTCCAGCT